TTGGCCAGTCACTTTCTCTTAACCTTTAACGTCCGAAGTGCCCCGATCATGCCAGTAATGAGTATGGTCGTTGTGTTCAAAATAGCCCGTTTTGGCCAGTCGGGTATTTAAACCCCGCTAGTGGAAGCGCGCGCACACGCCGCTAGTAGAAGCGCATGCAGAGTCCTAAATATTTATTTTTATATGTAGTAATTACCAGACAGACTTTAGTAAAACCATAATAGAGGATTTAAAATACCTAAGTGAACAACAGCAAAAAGGAGTATACGTATGAGTTATGCCCAAACTCATCCACGAGCCAATAATTTTATTGCATGTTCTGCATTAGTGTGTTAAAAATATATAGTAAAATTCGATGTTCATACTTTTATTGTTGTCATCTGCTTGATGTATACACGTATATAGGCTGAAATGAAACTACAGTATTCGATTTCACTATGAACGCACAGAAAACATATCGCACTCTGTAGTTCAGCCACGATGCAACTGTCTGTTCACGACCCTAGAGAGGGCAATAATCTCTTGCAGCTATAACGGAAGATCTTAGCACTGAAGGAGGGACCCCTCTAGCTTTCTCTTGAATAGCCAATCTTTCATTCTTCTGTCCTTTAGTCAAAATATTCGAAAAACCGAAGAGTGTAAGCAGTCCTAGCAGAAGGCCAAATGATGTTATTGCTTCCATCTGCTTCATGACACAGGAACTGCTAAAATTTCTCAAGTGTTAAAAACAGAAATGAATTTATAATGCAGAACATCTCTGTGAAGAACTGGGAAACCATTTTTACTTTACGCTTCAAAATTAAATGAAAAAATGGAAAGAGTATAACTCTTTGTATAACAATTTTCAAATCTTCCGTTATAATATGCGACACTATGTTCTTTACTGATATAAACAAAGTTAATTCCATCCATTTATCATAAAAATTGAGTTAGATACAGCATTTTTAAACATGCTTAAAAAATTGTTTACGCGCCCTAACAGGAACGGGCATTTAAACTCGAGTTAACAAGAAAATATTATATAATAACTGTAGCGCCATCTGTGGAGTAAAACCTGAACACTCGAGACTAAAACCTCATTGAAAGACACGAAGTGTAGTTAAGAATGTAGAATCTTAGTTCCTCATTATTTCCCTTATTCGGCTGTGCAAGCCGCTCTTCTGAATTCATTTTATAGGGTAGGGCAGTAGCTTATGAATACGTGCCATGCCGCGCAATCATGCGGCAAGAATGGAAACTACGAATTCTAAGCTCCGTTCTGGAAGTCGATTGCAAACTGTTTTTGAGAGCAACAAAGATGTCGGTGTCGTGATGGCGCGGGAAGTTCAATTACTCAGCAAAAATGTCAATTTAGCTTTCCTCCTCAATCTTTAGGTGAATATGACTATTCTTGTAAGATTTGACGTATTTACAGCGGTGACTATGAACAATGCCGTCCACTGGGATGTGGCGGCGTGTAGTTCTTGTGTGAACTGACGTTTCGGAGGAACGTATCGCCTCCATCTTCAGGGTAGAAAAATCCGCGAGCAAGGAACCAGTGTGAGCAGGTGGCTGCAGAATGAACAATAAAACTGGACTCTTCATAAACTGAATACTTATCCAACAAACTCTGATGGAGTAAAACACAAAGGTAATACTGAAACATATTATTGACTTGCTCCTGAGCCAGTTTTGTTCACTCGCAACATATTTCCTTCAGATCCACCTTAATGTTATCCTCCCATCACCTCAGTCTTCCCATCTCCCAATCTCAAAGATGTTTTGACACCAAAATTCTATATGCACTGATTGCCAAAAGTGTAACCTGTCCCTATCAAATCTCCTAAAATTTCATTACCCTAACTATAACAGACAGAAGCAGACAGTAAAATAAGGTCATTACTATGCAGACAATTTTGTTTTTTGTTATAATTATTTGACTGTGAAAGAAAGAAAAGTTCGCTTTAAAATATCTGCTCACCTTCTTGTTTTCTGTACATTTACATCTATTACTCATTTAAGACCTACAAGATATTAAGCTTAAACACAGAGTGGTTAATTATTTTTTCTTGGGAACTGGAGATATACTTCAGAATGACTACAGACTGAAGAACATCAGAAGAATGCTGTAGTTCAAAAAGTGGTAAATATGAGCTATAAATTATTTCTGCTTAATGTAAACACTTTACAGTCACACCAAAGGACAAGTAAATAACATTGTTAAATGATAATTATTTCTGTGTTTAAAGTACAGAAATAAGAAAATCACTGTAATAGTAAGCGCTGACATCTAATTTTGACCATCTCTGAAAAGTTTGCTATGATCTGTTAAGGAATCTAGAACAGCCTAAATATGACTTCAAGGGAAATGGAAAGCTTGGAATGATCTCCACTTGACTTTCTCCTACCAATTTTTAAGTATTTCACTATTCTCTGTATAATATGTATGTGAAAGTAAAGATTCATAAATATACATAATTAATAAAATTTGAATTTCATTCTAGGCCCAACAGACTTCTTATGCATATTGTTTCCATTTAATCAAGCCATTTCCCACCAATCTTAAACAGATAAGCTATGTAAGATCCTCCTGTATTACTTTTAATGCACAAATTGCATTATGTTCTATAACAACTACAATGAGTAAACTGAAGATTCATGCAATTAATGCCTGGATTGATGTATTTCTGTGATGACTATCCCTAACTAACTAATCAATAAACCTCTACAAACAAAACTGGCCCTCTTGATAAGACAACATTCATAAAAGTATTCTTTCATATACATAAAAGTACACTGCATTTTTAATACTGTTCACTATGGTACATAACTTCAATAGAAAAATATTTAAATGGAACAGCTTTACAATTTGGGCCCCTGCAGCATGTACATACAGCTAATATTTTCACAAAAGTCAAAATGTATTTATATTTCTTAGACTCAACAAACATGTAACACAATTTAAATTAAATTAAATGGAATTCAACCTGACAATGAATTTGGATTTACTGGATGTATAAAAATATATGTATATTCATACAAAACAAAATGTTTTAACTTTTTTTTTTAGTACTACTGCAGTTGCAATGAATATTGTAAAAACATCTTGTATGGAAGGAAACGAGGGTATCTGGTAACTCTATTGTAAATATATCATTTAAAATTATAAATAATTGACAGCCATTTCTAACCAATATTTAATACATCCCACAGAATAGTAAAACACAGTTTTTAATATTCTAAAATCTACATTTTAAAATATAATTTTAATAATGAAACGTATCAGTGAATGTTGCATATCAAGCTATAAAACTGGCTACATTTGAAATAAGAATAATATATACCGCTATTTAATCTTTTTTATCAGTGCCTGATATGAAAAAATCGTAACAAATAACTGCACAAATATCTCTTGTCTTGTGGTGGATTCCACCATGTTATATATGCAAATATCACAGTATTATCCATATTGTCATATAGTTCCAACCTAGTAGAAAAGTATGTGGGTTCTTCATCAAGTATATATGTGTTAAATTTGCTGTATCATTTTAAAGTCATTCTCAGTGAACTGTCACATTTACACATTTGACAAATTAATAGTCATTCCTTAGTAACCCTACTTGTAATGAATGTCTGCCCAATGAAAACATTAAACCAAGCTTAAAATCTCATCCCTCAGCTTTTACTCCTGTGTAAACACTGCCAGTGTGTTGTTTTTTGTTTTGTTTTTACTTTTTATTTTGTGTCCCTGTCTTTATGCTGCATATTTGTTTCAAAAGTACTTTCCTTTTCAAATTAATTACTATTCATCATAATAAATGCATACATACATGTACTATACATTTACCTTTGTTATTATTTACATATATACGTAAATGACTGGAAATCAGTTTTTATTTAATAACATTTACTACACTGCAAAGACTGGAAAATTACCAGGGATCCACTCATCCAGGTGAGTAAGAATTTCGTGCTGGTTCCTAAAATATTAATTGAACTTCGTAAAGTTTGACAACACTATTTTCTAAAATAATTTTCCAAATTTAATTTTTAGCAGACATGGAATAATGTCCTGGTAGCAGAAAAGTAATATATAATTCAGTACAGGTGTACGTGTCAGTACTTCCTCAAAGCATTAAATCTATTCAGTCATCACAAATTTACATCGAGACATGATGTATTTGCTTGCAACATGCTACATACATTTTATGGCTGACCTCTAAATTTTGGCTGGTTCCTAAAATAAGTTTTTAATTTGACCAATCATGCAGTAAGCCCCTCTAAACAATTTTAAATTGCTGACTGATACTTATTAGTGAAGTGATACATGGATTCCTACTGCAGGGAGGTTAGGAAATATTCTATATTGGAAGGAGATAAACTCCAGAGTACAACACTAATCATTTATAAGGGCAAAATATTCAGAGTGACAGTACCCAAGGCCCCTCATCCTCCAAATTCCAACATCTTACCCACATGACTATAAAAATCCAGTCTTTCAGTCAGTTCTGTGCATATATGACAAAATACTGATGCTTGCTGCTGCTTTCAGTGCCACAACTTTTTTCATATACATTCAGGAACAATACTGGTGTGATGAAAGGGACTGCTGAGGTATGAAATCTTGTTAATTGGTTGTGCAGGAGTGGCAGAAGGTTCATTAGTATCCTTGTCAGGGAAAGTGTATGTTTGCTGCTCGCTGGAATGTTCTTGAACCTTTGACATCATCACTGGCGTTGTGGGGGAATGAGGATCCTCATACAGCTGCTGATACAGTGTTGAACCATGCTTGTACCTCGGAGTACGACAGATGCTATGACGTCTCGCAAACTTATTTCTGTAACTGTTTTTCTGCCTAGTCCACCGAAGAAGTAGTGCTGCCAACATGACAAATGCCAAAATGATCGAAATGGCTGACAGTGTCACTATGAAAATAGGCCACATGTAGCTTGCTTCTGTGTCTGTAACTGGATGTTTATGAATGTCCTCTGGATAATAATTCAATGTATGCTCTAAATCTGGTGTAATGCTAAATATTATTTCTTCATCAGTCACCATTTCAATATCATCTAATGGTAATTCAGATTTAGTGACAGTCTTACTCGAGTCATACGAAATGGGTTCTGGATTTGTGACTTTCATACTGGATTCATTTGATTTAGGTATAAAATCAATTAAATTCTGATTTTCCTCACAGATGTGGTTCATGAATATTTTCCAACCCAACTCATATTTCACTTGTACTCTTTCCACAGAACCTTTACTCTTCAGTTGTTCAAACTTTTTCTTTTCAGTGGTATCTGATGATGCCACCCCATTCTCGGTCAGCAACTTTATGAGTTTCTTCAGATCATCACTGCACATCAGGGGATTGCCACTCAGTACAAGAGTCTGCACATATTCCACATATTTGTAATCTTTCACAGTTAGATTTTTTATTTTATTATTAGCAAGGTTTAAGTAACTAAGAACTTTCAGTGGCTGAAGTCCTGAGTCATATGAGTCCCATAGTTGTTGGAGATCACATGATTTCAAGTTGAGCCTTGTCAGTCTAGTGGTATTAATAAAGTCAGCTGGTGATATCGTCTTTAGCGGATTTCCAGAAAGGTGAAGTTGCTTCAGTGATGAGCCAAAAGGAAAACTAACTTTATCAAGATGAGCAATTTTGTTATCTGACAAATCTAGAAATACTACTTTAGGACTTAGAACACCAGGTTTGATGTACTGAATTTCATTTCCACGAAGGTACAGCCGTTCAATACGGTTCATCTTCTTTAAATCATGTTCCTCTAAATGTGTCAGTCCACAATTTGTTGCATCCAATATGTACATTTCACTGAACTCTCCTTGGAAACCTTTTTCTGGAAACTTATTCATTTCTGGATTATTTGCAAGTTTCAGGGTCTCTAACTGGATATTATTAATGAAAATATCATTAGGAAGTGGTCCAGTTAATTTATTGTTTGATAGATCCAAGTTTTGGAGTTTTGTCATATGTTGAAAAGCATTTGAATTAATTGCAGTTATAGCATTACCACTCAGATTTAAATCTCTTATGTCTGGGAATCCAAAGAAGGTGTCTGCATCAACAGTACTGAACTTACACAGACTAAGATCCAGCTTCTGAAGACTTTTTATCCTAACACCTCTCAGTGATGTCAGACGATTATTTTGCATGTTCAAAGAGCTCAATTCCAAGTTATTTGCAAACATATCGGAACTCAACTGACTCAGCTTGTTATCTGAAAGATCCAGATCAAGCAAATCCACTAATGGAGCAAATGTTTCTTTTCCTATATAAGAAATATTATTTGACGCCAGATTGATGTATGTTAATGTTGTTAGTTTGTTAAACATTGTAGGAAGTAGGTGAGACAAATTGCATTCAGACAAGTCCAATTCTTGAAGTGAAGGAATATTAAGAAAGTATCCATTATATGGGGAAGGTTGAACTTGCATGTACTTAAGTGGATTCCGACTCAAAGAAAGTCTCTCTAGATGTCTATTGTTTGCAAACATGTCAGGCTCAAGAAGAGCAAGATGATTTCCACCAAGATTCAATTGATTTAGGTTGTAGAGGCCATGAAATGCATTTACATCTATCTGCTCCAAAGTGCTGTTCAGTATTGTAATTGATGAAACGCGCTTGAGACCAGCATTGAAAAAGATCCGATTTGTAAGTTTTAGTCCTGAGGACTTGGGGATGTTGGACAGATCCAGATAAGCAACTTCCAAGCCAAAGTGTTGTGTATTATCAAAGGCACTGCATTTTGCTAGGATTCCTGATGTTCCAGATGCATCACATGTGCAGTATGTTGGACAGTCACCACTGCTCACTAGAAGTGCTGATGCCAGAAGTATGACTACTTCATACAGAAGTATGTACCCCATTCTGGCTGGCTGTTGTCAAAATTCTGAAAACAGTACACAGTCTTAATTATAGTAATGAACTAGATACCTTTTAAATATTCCACACCCCGACATTATATTACTATTAGGAAAATAAGATTACATGTCTCATGTTTAACAGAACACCATATGAATTCTTCAGAAAGGAACAATATTAATATTGATCATTACATGGGTGCCGTGTACTGTAGGAAAATTCTAAGCAAAGGTGGTGTATGTATTTTTGTACATAACTCTATTAATTATTCAAATATTAATTTGGACAGATTTTGTATAGATCCAATTATTGAAATATGTGCTGTTAAACTCCAATCAGCCGGGCAAAATATTTGTATAGTAGCTGTCTACAGAGCGCCATCTGGGAATTTTTTACAATTTTTAAATAGTCTAGATAGAGTTTTAAATACTATTGATAGCCCTGGTGTTGAATTCATTGTATGCGGTGACATAAATATAAACTACCTACAGGATAGCCCTATGAAAAAACAGCTTAATTCATTGTTAATGTCTTTTAATCTTTTTCCCATAATTGATTTCCCAACTAGAAGTCAGAATATTCTGTTTCATTAATTGATAATATATTTATTGACTATTCTCAATTCAGAAAGTATTTGGTCTTTCCTATTAATACTGGTCTATCTGATCATGATGCACAACTCCTTATTATTATAAATATCTAATTGCAAATTCTTAAACATAAAAATTCTACCATTTCAACTATAAGAGATTTTGATGATCAGTCTTTGCTTAATTTTAAAATGCAATTAAGCTATGAAATGTGGGATGATGTATTTAGTGGTGCTGATGTTGATACCATCTTCAACTCCTTTTTAAATACATATTTGAGAATCTTTCATTCTAGTTTTCCATTAAAAAATAATAACTAGTTCTAAGGCAAAAGTCAATAATTGGGTAACACCAGGTAAAAAGTTTCTTGTCGACGTAAGCGGGAACTCTACTTGTTGTATAGGGATAATAATGATGCAAATTTTTAAAATTATTATAAATTATACTGCAGAACTTTATCTAGTGTTATTAATGCGGCTAAAAGACTTCATTATGATAGATTACTTGTTAATTCAGAGAATAAAATGAGAACTACTTGGAATATTGTTAAATCTGTAACAGGTAAAAGGTCAGGGAATAAATCATTTGAGTCAGTTTATATAAATGGTACTTTAACTGATAATCAACAGCTTATAGCTGATTCCTTTCAAAACTACTTTCTATTAACAGCAGACAAAATAATTTCCAATATCAATAACAATGAGGAATTAGAAGATAATAATTGTATTGATTATCTATATAGAGTTTCCAGTAACCCCTTTCCAAATACAACATTAGATAATACAACGACTGGGGAAATTAAAAAAATGATTAAATCCCTTGAATCCAAAAATTCACTTGGAATTTGATGAAATTTCAGTAAAAATCCTTAAAATAAGTTCTCCATTTATCATCGCTCTTTTGAATTATATTTGTAATAGGTCAATTTTATCTAGTTCATTCCCTACATGATTAAAATATTCTGTGGTTAAGCCATTATTTAAAAAAGGTTTTTGGGTATTACTGTTGATAGCTCCTTTTCTTGGAAACATCACATTGATGGACTTATGGTTAATTAAGCAAAGCATGTTATGCTATTAGATCTTTAAAACCCTTTGTGTCCCATGAATCACTAAGGATGATTTACTATTCTTATTTTCATGCAGTTATGTCATATGGTATAATCTTGTGGGGAAATTCCCCTTACAATATCAATATATTTAAACTAAAAAAAAAAAAGCCATAAGAATTATTACAAATTCCAGAAACAGGGATTCCTGTAGGGAGTCATTTAAGAAACTAGATATATTTCCGTTTTCTTCTCAGTATATATTTTCATTACAAATTTTTGTAATTGATAATATCTCCTTATTTAAAACAAATTCAGAGTTATATATGATATCAACACCAGAGGTAAAAATAATTTTTACCCTTCACAACCAAGGTTGTCTATCTATAAAAATGGTGTTTATTATATAGGTATAAAGGCATTTAATCACTTACCTCCGTGCATAAAAAAATTGTCTGATAATAAGAATCAATTTAAAAATACTCTAAAAAACTACCTTACCTTCTATTGAATTCTTTTTATTCAAGTTTTTTTAATAGTAATTACTAATTTTAATGTGAATTTTTAAGGTTTTATGTATCATACGTGCTTTATTTTGGCATAAATATGTTATCATCTACCTTTTGGTATGATGATTTTTTACAATATTAAATTTAAGATGTTGTTATGTTTAATGTTAAAGTAGGAAGATAA